TGATGCTGTGTTGGAAAGTGTCCTGGTGACCTGCAGCACTGCTTGGGTTGGTTCCTCTCCTGTCCACCATTTCTAGCGCTCCTGCAGCTCTTGCTCTCCTTGGGTCAGCCCAGTGCCCTGTGCTTCCCAGTGGCTGGAGCCAGGCTGAGTGCATCAGGAAGGCTCTCATGCCTGTACAAGGAGAGATTCAGCTTGTTGAGGTTTGTGGAGCATCAACGGGCAGGCAGTTGTGCAGTGGGGAAAGGAGGATGAGGAGGGGCACTTTGCTCTGCAGCATTTAACTGCTCTGCTTGCAGGGCTAGGGATGTTTCTGGGTCTTGGCTTCCTGAGCTCTGGGTACTCCATCGGAAGACATCCCTCCCCACCTTGTTAAAGGAAACAAGACCATCCTGCTGGGGCTGCCCATGGAGCTTGGTGGCCTGCAAGGAGGTTTTGATGGATGCCCAGAGAAGGGATATGATGGTCCCTCTTCTGAAGCTGTGTTTTTTGATTCGACATGTTTGTCAGGGCAGGGACAGGGCTAATCGTGCTGCTGTGAATCAAGGTCATGTTTTTCTTTCTGGCTTACATAGCCAGGCACCAGGTCAGCAGCAAAAAGAAAATCAACAGGCGCCTGAGCAGCCACAGGCTAACAATTTGGTGGACAGAAAGGACACGGGATGTTTTGTAACGCAGCTGGCTTTACACAGCCAAATACTCCTGTTGTTGCTGCAGCTTGCATCATACCGTAGCTGTGAAGCACATGGGGAACTTTGTGGCAGGGTCAGCTGGTGAGATTGGCAGGTCACGCTGGTCCTGAATGGTGCTCACCAGAGTGGGTAGTCCAGCTGCGAGGCTGGGAAGAGACCCGAGCACATGCTGGCCAGAGACTGCTGGTCCCCCCAGTGCTGGTACCGCACTGTGCTCGTCCCACTTGGCATGGGACTGCCATTGGCTAGCACGTGAATACTGTATGCAATGTGTTTTATGGAACAGGGGCTAGTAGCTCACAGCCATGTACGTTTTGCAACACAAGGTAAGTGAGCTGTAAAAATCAATGAAAGCTTATTCTAAAACACCCACTTATAACCCCCCAGAAAGACTGCAAGGTGCTGAGCACTGCTGGGACAGCCCCTCATCAGTCCATTCCCCTTGGTCCCAAGTGGCAGAATACAGCCCAGCTCTGAGACATGCGGAGTAGCAGGTGCTGGGATGGACTGTCTGGGAGACTGCTCTGTTATACTTTGAGCTCTGATCTTCGTTTCCAGAGGAGCTGGTGATGTCCTGGTGCCTTTTTCTGCATGCCCTCCTCCTGCCTTCTGTCACCTGGGACTCACCCTAGTTTCATGGGCACTGCAACATCCAAAGGTCAGATACTCATCATCCCATAGCCCTGTTGTGGGCCCAAGAAATGAGCTCCCTTCCACAACCCTGCTGATCCCAGTAGAAAGAACATCTGGGAGAGCCTCAGCATCGTGCTGGAGGACAAAGAAATATGGTTGTACCCAGAATAACTTCTTGTCGCACAAGCAAGAGGTTGTTTCCAGCAGGGTGGTCTGGGACCCAGCTCGTAGCCAAAGTGGGCAGCAAGCAGCCAGCTCTACCTTTTTCTCTTTAGTCTCACACATGATTGCAGCATGGAAGCAATTGTTTTTGGACTTGGCGTGGAAGAAGACTGACTTGTGCTTTTGTTGCTTTCCCGTGTTTACTTGGTAGTTCTCCCTATAAAAATTGTTTAATCTGACTGACCACTTTTTGGATTGTTTGCAAGGTTTATTTTAAGTTCCATATGCACTAATGTGCTGCTGTGCCAGAAACCCTGCGCCCTTAGGGTGGCTTATTGTATTCTTTTTTTATTGTGTCAGTGCATATTGGCAAAGTAAATCAACTACTTCAAAAGGAAATTAATTTACTTCCTGCCTTTACATGTTTGGCTCCCATCTTAGGGAGGAAGAAGGAGTTTCAAAGGTCACAAGGAATATAAATAGAATAAGATGCAGTAAAATACCTATCTGCCTTCAGTCCCCGAGATTCTTATTGTATGAGGGTCAGAAGTGACCCAAGTTGTCCCCTTACAGGGGATGGGGTGCTCTGGGATTGCTGCTAGAGGGATGTCAGTCCAGCCGGGGTAATTCAGCATTCACCTGAGTGCTGTGTAGCCAGGGCAGCCCTGTGCTGGTTGGAGTAGGGAAAGCCAAGCACATGGCCAGGGGTTCGAACGATGGGGCTGCCAATGCACTGTTTGTAGGAGCAGCTTTACTGCATAGATGAGTTGCCGTCCACCCTCGTTTCCTCTTAGGGTTGCTCAGGACTGCGTGTGTGGTCCTTATCTTCCCCACACAGCTCATCACCACTAATCTCCTCTGCAGAGCCACACAAGGGGTGACTTGCAGGTCTGCCTCCCTTCTCCCAGCTCCTCCTGTCCAAACCACAGTTGTGGCTGCTCTGAAATTTCCTTCTGGCTGTCTGGCCATCAAGTCGTGCTCAGAATGGCTTTAAAAATGCTTCTAACTTGTCCTCTGTTGTTGCAGGAGCGTTACTCGGTCCCCAGATCTGTCTGCATTCTTCAGCTCCCAGCTTGCTCTCTAGCTTCACTTGTTCTGTTTGGGTCTCTCAGATGCTTCAGGTCACATCTCTAAAATACCTTGCCTTATCCGTCCTCCCAGCTGAAATTCCTGGCCAGGCTCTTATCTGTTGCTGCAGCATCCTCTCCTCTGTTCTTGGACAGCTCAGTGTCCCATCGCGGGTGTCTGCAGAGCATGCTGCTACCGTGGCTCTGACCACGCCAGCCATGTTGCCAGTCCTTGCCCAGATTTGTCATCTCCCCCTTCTCTTTCCCATTTCAACAAAAGTTGTCTGCACTTCTTGTCCTGTTCTCACCCCTCTGCTGTGTCTCACTGTACGTCCCTCATGTCAGACTCTCTCTGTAGTTAAATCTGCACTAACTTGCGTGCACCCTTCCATGCTCCCCTTCTGGGCCAACACTTTCTGCTTGTCTTTCTGGCCAGCCATGTCCTCAGGTTACCTGTGCTCTGTTTGGACCCGTGTGGTCTCATTAATTTCTTGCATACCTGCCACCACCCCTTCTGTATTGCTATTTAAACTGTGGTTTCCCCTGTAGGGAAGGAGCTTTGTGTACATAGTTCTCAGACGGGTCCCTTTTCATGCTGCCTGTTCAAAAGTGGGCACCCTACTCCCAAGTCTAGCAGTAGGATGTGCCTGGCTGCCTTGGGGATATTCCCTTCCCTGCTCTGACTGTGCCTTTTTGATCATGTTCTCCAATTTTTTTAATTTTTTTTTTTGAGGAAAAAATAATCCTAAATGAGACCAGTCCTTGTGCAGGAAAGAAGGAAGGATCCGGCAGCTCAGCATACAGAACTCCCAGTAAAAACGTGCTGTAACAACTCTGGGTATTGGAAGGAACCACAGCTGCTTGCTATTCTAAAAAAGGAAAGGAAAGGCTGAAAATAGCATAATCCCAGGAAAACTAGAACAATTGCTGTTGTCGAAGTCAAGTATCTAAAATGAACCCACACTGGAAGCAAGTCGGGACTCCTAAAAGTAGTGAACATTTAGAGATTGCCTGCTGAGGGAAACCTGCCTGCAACAGAGCTGCATTTGTTCTGCAACCTGCTAATTTTTGAGAGCCGCAAGAGAGAAGCGCTTGCAAAGCCTCTTGGTAACATAGAGCAAAGTGCAGTAACCTCCACTGTGATTTACTGCCTGGGAGGCAAGAAAGCAAGCCTGAAAATGGGAAGGAATACACCAGAATCGGCTCTGTCCTGGTCCTGGCAGGTCTCTTCTGCCTGTAATGTGGTGGCCAGCGGATGGCCACCAGCAGTGGAAAGGTCTGTGGGATTTTGCAGTCATGAAGGTGGAGTTTTCAGCAGCTGTGTCTGGTGATCATGCCTCATCCCTTCATGGTCACTTGTGATCCACTGAGACCTGGGAGAAAGCAATGGGGGATCTTCCCCCAGCCAGCCAAGCTCTGTGTCCCTCCTCACCTGACAGTCGTGCTGCTTTCTCTGTAGAAATGGTCAAAAGCTTTCTCTGAGAAAGATGCAGATTTGGGCACCGGTTGTTCTGTAAAAGAAAATGGGTTTGTGTTACCTTCCTCTGCCAGGGCCAGCCCAACACCGTGGCCCCTTGACTGCTGTCCTGCTTTGTCTGCTCAGGTGCAAAGCTTTCTGCTAGTTACTCACTTTCTTTTTGCTTTTCTATTTTTTTTTTTTCTCTCCAGTCTTGGTTTCTTAGTTGCTGAAGTGATATGCTTTTTTCCTCTCTGTCATCATCTCAGTGAAAATACTGGGTGCGTGGGTGTTTGCATTCCCCACTGATGGCCCTGGTTGGGTGCCGGGCTCCCTGGTGAGCGGCACTGCTGTGGTTTGCTCAAGCCCCGAGGACAGTGCCATACCCTTGAGAGCACTCCTTCTGCAGAGCTGTCTTGCCCAGTCTCTCAGGTGGACCTGGGCATTTCAGATTTGATTTGAATCAGGAGTGAAACTCTAAAATGCCACAATTCTCCAAAAGGAACCAGAGGGCTGGATTTGGGACAGCTGCCCTTATGGCCTGGCCTGGCCACAGACCCCAGTGCCCTGGTTTCCCATAGCCCCTACACCAGTTGCAGAGTCCTGGATATGTTTCTATTGAAGCTCAATCCAAGACCTGTCAGATCTTTACTAAGCCAGGCTTTACTGAACCGACCTCCCTCTGTCTGCTAGCTGCTGCCTGCTCCTTGCTAGTCCAGTGAAGAGCCCAGGCAGCTCCTGTATTTACTACTGTCTTCCCCTGCACATATTCTTAAGTTGTCTCTTCCCTTTCCCTTGTTGGTTGTTAAAAATATACTTGATGCTCTCTAGCTCTATTTTTGTGAAAGTTTATGTGAGCTAAGTGTATGTACCAGGTACGTACAGACTGCAGAGAGCATGTGAGAGCTTCCCAGCATAGCAGTCCTGTTTTGCTACCATGCTGTGTGCTCTGTGTGCCGCTGACTAATGCCCTTTCTCCCTTCCTTTCTGCAGTGGCTGAAGGATCCCGGTCCCCGCAATGAGAAGAGGACCCTTTTCTGCGACATGGTGTGTTTCCTGTTCATTACTCCCTTGGCGGCGATCTCCGGCTGGCTGTGTCTGCGTGGAGCCCAGGATCATTTGCAGTTCAACAGCCGACTGGAGGCCATCGGACTCATAGCACTAACTATAGCACTTTTCACAATCTACGTCCTTTGGACGCTGGTAAGTGTCTGCTGCCCAGGGCCTTGTTACTGTTCAAAAGGGAGATCGAAGTACTGGCTTGCACCGTGTCGGTGCAGCCAGCTGTTTCTGACTCCCCTTGTAAGAAAACCTTGGGCTCTTTCTCTTGAACATCCATTTAATTACCTTCAAATGGGAGCTGCTAAAGCTGTTGCTGAGAATGAGAAACCACTTCCTGATCATCTGCTTTCCAGATTGACATGGGAGCAGTGTTCCCCCCGGGTGTCATGTACCCGAGTGCAGACATGCCTGAGCATGGCTGAGGCTGGGTGGGAAGGTCTGGTGCTGGGGGCAGGCAGTGGTCCAGCTGTTGTGCCTGTTCATATTTTCAAGAAGAAACACTAACTTGATATGCGGGTGGTTTAGGGGAAAAAATAAAATCTGGAAAATGTTTGACCTCTAAATAATCTGCCATCATGTCCCTCCATGCTTTGTGCTACCCAGCACAGGTTGGCTGTGCCTGAAGGAGGTGCAGACTGGCTGTTGGGGGTCTCGGTGGCCCACAACTAAACAAATTCCTACACAGTATTTTTAAGATGTCAGTAGCACAGAAGGGTGTGTGCAAGGAACACTCCAGCCCTGTGGAGACCTCTGACTTCTCTCTCATACGGGGCTTTTGGACTTGAGCCCTGAGCCAAGGCTGGGTAGCCAGCCTGCCCTGGCCCACTGCTGCAGCACTGTCAGGGTTGGAGGCATTGGGGATTAGTGAGAACCTGCACTTGACACTGTCTGGGTGTTGAACTGATCCGTGCTGGAAAGAGCTTCCTGCAGATGCCTTGCTTTGCGTCTTTTTGGACATGCTGAATTAGTAGGCAGGAGCTTGCAGCTTGGGGTGAGTCCAGAAGAGCAGGAAAGCAAATGTGAATTTGCTGTGTAGCACATCTGTGAGCGCTCCCAGCTGAGAGCCCAGAGGAGCAGGCAGCTCCCTGCCCTGCTGCTCCCTGAGCCCTCGGTCCTCCCCTGGCCCCACTCTCTCTGGGGTCTCCCAGGCCAGGGACTTCCCTCTGTTTCCCATTCAGTTCTTCCATGTTCTGTTGCTAGGTGGGCTTCTGGGTTCGGATCTTCATTTCGGCTCTCCTATTCAAAGCCCTGTGTGTGCTCATGCCCTGTCGATACCCTTTTCCAGCTGCTTGCTGGGAAGCACCATTTTGGGAAGGGAAGCAGTGCAGTTGCTGGAGGAGAAATAGTGGGACCCCAAAAAGCTGGCAGTTCTGTGGGCAGTAGAAATGCCACAGCCCATTTCCCTGCCATTTCATGCTCTGATCTCGCAGAGTAACAGCTTTCCCTGGGGTTAGGACATGCCTTGCAAGTCTCCCACACAGACTCAGGTGCCAGGGGAGGGTGAGTTGGTGCTGCAGCCTTCGCTCTGGGGGGGTGCCTGCAGTGAGAGTGCCTGATTGGTGCTGCTGTCAAACATGCAGCAATTGCAGTGCACAGGGAGCTGCTGAGGAAAGTCTCCGCTGCTGCATGTACGTGCTTCACAAGGTTCATTTCTGTAGAAAGCCAAGCTAAAATTGGAAACTTTAAGAGGAAGTGCTTCCGTCTCCTCTGTCCCAGCACTGGTCTGGAGGAGCTGGAAATCTGGATGAAACGGAAAAATGGGGGTTTCTTGTGAAATAACGAGTCCTGACTAAAATGGCTCTAGTTCTACTGTGCTTTACATTTCCTTGAACAGAGAAGGACGTTAAGTGAAGCCCCTTTATTCACATTTACCATATTCAACTGCAATTCCTTCGTGCTGCCATGGGCTGTGTGGCACAAAGGGCTGTTATGTGGGTGGGTGGTGATGGCTCTAATCAGCGTGAGGATCGGGAGAGAGGCTGTGGCCAAGGTTGCAGCTCCTTCCTGTGGAGCAGGAGCTTTCCTTGAGGTTTGCACCATTAGCTCCCCATTCACACGCTGTCTCTGAAGACTGTGAGATCCATTTGCTTCTTGTTTATCAGCAAACAACCTTATTCCCACAGTTGTCCCTCTACAACAGGAAAAAGGGGAGTGCACAGATCAATAAGCTAAATTACCTCAATGTGGTGGCACAGCTCCATTTCTCATAGCAGATGTCTGACACCTATCCAAAAGTAATAGGAATATTGACTTTTCCTTGTCAGATATACTTCCTGGTACTTCCTACTTGCCAGCTAAATGTTTCCTGTACTCTTACAAAGTACGAAAGCTTGGTTTTGATGAGTGGCTGACTGGATTCAGTATTTAATTTTCTTGCTCACAATTTCTAGGAAAATAAATGGGAGGGAAATATATGCTGGTTTTATTCCTTCCTCAAGAAATTCTAGAAAAGTTTAATTTCAAAGCTAAGGAATCAGCAGGAGCTGTGAGAAAATCTGCAGTGCTTGCAAAAGGACACAGCAAGGAGTCCAGCCCACTGGGGAAGCACAGCCCGAAGCTCCCCCTTGCAGGGCTGCTCTGAAACTGCAGGGCCAGCTCATGCCTCTGGGCCAGGCTGGTTAAGGTCCCCTCCAGCCTTTGCATCCTCTCCCATCTCCCTCCCGGTGAACAAGTCTCCCAGGCCACAGCGTTGTCACAAAAAATGAGTCCAACCAATGTCCTGTTGTTGCAGACCAAGGAGAGAAGGCTTTTGCAAAGGGCAGAAAAGATCCACCAGGATCTGCGAGATGGGAGGAGGCTGGTTGGATTCAGCCACTTGAGGCTGGTCCTGTTGAGAACCCCTCGTTTTCCCCAGACAAGGTGCTCGCTTCAGCCCATGGCTAGGGTGAAGGGGCGAGTTGTGGTTCCTCCCTGCCACATCTTACCAGCCTTGTACCCAAACCCAGCTGAGCAAACTCTGTCCCTCTGTCCTGGTGCTGCCTGGAAAGCTCCTTTGGCTGTGCCATGCTCAGCCTGGTGTTACCAGGAGTTAATTGATTCCTTGTCAAAGGCTTGGGACATGGAGTGCCGCAAACCGTTTCAGGGTCAGTGCTGTCTCCTTTGGGTGGGGGGTGCTGGTGGATTGACAAGGAATATGCAGAGAGCACGCAGAGGGAGGATGGGTGACTGCATCTCACTGGCCCTCTAAGGGCTCTGGCACTTGTGACAGTGGTTTGGTAACCAGACTGATGCGTTATCACCCACCAGGTTTCGTTCCGCTACCACTGCCAGCTGTACTCGGAGTGGCGAAGGACCAACCAGAAAGTCCGCTTGATGATCCCAGCCTCACGGAGCCCTCACCCCATGCCCCACTCCCTCCTCTCAGCCAAGCTCATGAAGAAGACTGCAGATGAAACCACCGTCTAAGCTGTCCCTTGGCTGCTGCGCCACGTGGCTGCTGGGGCGAGGCCAGCCCTTCAGGGCTGGCAGAAGCAAAGAGGGTCGGGTGTCCTCGCGTGCGCAGGAAACGCAGCAACTGTGGAGGCACTAGAAAGCAATCATCCCACCCGAAGGGACTTTGCGGTCAGCATGTACTTTATACTATGGCAAACAGACAGATAATCAACGTCTGTCATGTGAAATGGCCCAAAAGAGCCAGATGGCAAAATATGCCTGTCTGCAGGGACGCTTTCCTATAACTAAATACCATATGTGGAAAATATCTCCCTCTATATATATATAT